CACTCAGTTGTTACGCTCATTTTCAACAAATTCAAACAATAACGGTGCCTAGGGTTATGCCATATAATATGTTACAACTTATGCAGAGTGTATTTACGGTCAATATTCCATTATCTTTCCTTGTATATATATCTTGTGTTAGTGAAAAATTTTAAACATATCTACTCCATGTGTGCATTATTATCATATTGATGATGCCTGTCAACTGGAGTCCCTCATGTGCATAATGTGGGAATATATTATTATAAGATGCATTTCATTGTTATATGAGGGAATTGACTTCAAGTTTTATTTATTTTCCCAAGTATGTGTGATCCATCCAACGCCTACTTGGGTTTTTTGTTAATGCGAAGTCAATATCTCTGTATTTCTTGATGTGTTCCATTGAATCACCAGTCATCCGATTTTTCCCACAAACTAAAGATAAAATGACAGCAACCATGTTACTTAACCGTAAATCATGTAATTTAAATATGTCACTTAAATGATACTTATTCATGCCTTTACAACTTGTGTGTCCCACATTTGTAGGAATAAATATGTACCTTATTATATTATCATTATTAATTATGCTTAGTAATCGTATGTGTAGTTTATCGAATTGATGATGCCTGTAAACTAGCGTCCCTCATGTACAAAAATGGGAATATACTATTATTATTATTCACCCTGAAGTTCGAAGGGGACATTTGTGTGACGATAGTTGATGAGTCACCCTTGTATCAGAAAGAAACCCTTTCTGTGTCATGGTCATAGGGGCTGGATTCATTTCGTCCTCTGATAGACCTAGTTCCTGAAACACTTCCAATACTGTGGATATAAGTGTACACAATCTCTGTATAGACGAAGCCAGAAAAATGTATGGCAGAGTATTGGCTTCCACCAGTGAGGATTTGCAAATGAGTTAATCATATCAAACTGATAACCTGGATAGTTTCATTAACAGTGGTCGAAAATAGACTCTTAGAAGTTCGTGAAGTCCTAAGATAGCAGGTACATAGTTTCAAGTTGCTTTGCCCATAAAATTTCTGGTGCTTAATCGCAGCACATCAAAATAACGTTCGAGGTTATTCTTTTCTGCGATGCTGCCAATGTTATGAATGGACATCGGTTTTATCCTAACGCTAATGTGAATCAGGATGCCTGGTGAAGGCGTACAAAGACCATTCTGGCGCGCATTGAGGTCAAGATAACGCCTAGACAAGATATTTCCTACTCTGGAAGCTAACTGGATACGCAAAGCTCTGCAACGCGACTTTGTAGGGGATCAAACGTGAATGCGATTTAGAGGAGACAGCTTGGGCACTGAGACATTATTTCGGTGATGATGTATCTCTTTTCAACCCTGTAAATGGATGGTTAATGATATAATCGTCCATACCGTAGTATATTTATGTATAAATATTTTATGTTCCCAGCTCTCATCTTCAGTACAGAGCCACCTAAGTCTGCTGCAACCAGTGTAGGTTGTCTGGACCACATGAAACACGTGATGACATTGAAACTGAATGAACTTTCTGTAGAATATCATTATTGTTCAGAATTCAACGTGATGTGAGTTTAGTTTATTCTCCAAAGGCAGTCTGTAATAGACCGTGAGTTTTTCCGTCAGCTAGTATCCACGATATATTTATAGTGCAGGAACCGGCTACAAAATGATTACTTCGAGTTTATCTGGGAAAACAGTTCTATTCATGTGGTTCCATGTCCACTGGAAGGACAGTACCCTTATCAACATCATTCTTGAGTGCGTAAAGTTCTGAAGACATACTCGAATTGTTTTTTGGTCTGACATCCTTCGGTTCTGCCTCACCTGTTTATTGTACATTTATTGGTATGGTTGTTTGGCGATACCACAAAAGAAGACCGAAGAATCTGTCGGTCTCTTGCTACGCGACGACGGTGAACAGCAATATCCAGTTCTTCTGAATCACCCTTCTCCATGTCGTGTGACCTACCATCACCGCGGTAACAATAATGTATTTAATCCAAATATTGCTATGGTTACATTAATCTCGTCCCATTTGTTGACATGCTGTTCCACCTGAGACAAATAAACTTCAGAAACTCCGAACCTTCTCCCATCTGTTTGCTCAGAATCCATTGAGATAGCTGGGTCACTAGGTGATATAAAATAAACACACACAAAATTAACATGGAGTGGGCTAAACTTAGAATGAATAAAGTTTGTTGGGATATCTATGGAATGAGAGTATTTAATGAATCTTCGCCCCTCTTCCTACCAATAAGTTACCTTCTGCGAGATCACTGCAGTTTCTGAGGCATTTTATGGATTGTTTTCACTCTCTGTCCTTTGTGTAATGTGTGAATATCTCCCTCAGTTCCAATATAAAATAGCGTTTTGAATGTGTCATTATGGAAGCCGTAATACTCACTGCAGCACGGCAAGAAACCTAATGGACCAACAAGTTCGGATATTGAATCATGCAGAGTGCAGAACATGCCATTTCTAAGAGTATGAACAAATGGATTATGGAAATAAAGCGCAGGAGCCGCAGATTTTATAATTTTATATAGTACTACACATATGAAATTATTCAAAAGTGTCATCTACAAATGCTCTAAATGAAATCCAGATCAGGAGATTTGTAAAACCTATAAAATAGGAAACACTAACGCATTTTGACGTGCTTTCTCGCCACATTCGTAGCCACATAGTAGTATGATAATTTTTGTGTAATAGTGCGAACAGTGAAAAGGCGGAAATGAATACGTCTCATTGGTTAACAGATGGGTGGATTAATCTTGTGTTACCACATCAAACACAACTCTCAAATAAAAAGATAAACGCTACTACATTCACTTGGTTTGTTCGGGCATAGACAGGAATAAATGTATCACTTTTCAGCATTTTATATATTGGGTGTGGGTCAGCAGTAGTGCACTAACTATTTGTAGTGTCAGTTATATACTGGCACCATAACGCGGCACCGGTAAACTCCAAACTGCAATCTCATTTTAGAGACGATCGTATTAAAGTCGAGCGCAGAAATACTCTAGAAAGTATTTACACGCACTTATTTTCTTTGAAATGGAAGTGAACCCTCCATATTGCTAACGGGAGAGTCAATCTACTCCAGTCACCCAGATGGCAGTTACAGCCACGCTGAGCGAGTGGTCATCATGGTGTCGCCAACAGTGTCAGACGCTCTCATTCGGTGGGAACCAATCTCCGCCTTCATGTTTATGACGGCAAAACACTACTCGAATGGCCGGAAAGTTGCAGTTACCCGGTGCTACGAGTCTACAACAGGATGCAGACTCAATGAAGAGGGTTAGCTCCTACAGATGATTTCAAACCATAGTGGACACGACCCAAGTCAGACAGCGACACTAAAATACCAGCCGATATTATGAATGTCGAACTTCAGGCAGATGACCCAGGAATCGAACTCATCATAGGTCAGGAGGCTCTCAGAAAAAGGAGGGAGAGTGGTGGTGTCTCTGCGGACACCTGCGCCTTCAGTGATTTGGCGAATGAAAGCAGCGTGTATGAGTAAAAATACGCACCAAAGAGGCATGTATTTCACAAGATGGGCACACTAAAAGTCAGACAGACTTTAACTCAGTCTCAAGAAAGTGTAGGCGAAACCTGAGGGACACAAAACCGAAGAGAGGAGAAAATGTGGGCTCTGATTATTATCCAGTATGACGAACCTTCAGGTTCAATTTGAGAGCCTTCAAAATATGTGGAGACAGAACACAGTTCAAGTCCCACCCTGGTGCAAATACAAAGTACACCTTCACGGCAGCCATCAGAGCAAAGTTGGGGACACTTTCTACGATTTCCAAGAAAACCGGTGTGGTTAGGATTCTCGCCGACCATGGTCACTGGTTCGATCCTCTGCCTACACACATCTGATGTATATGGTCGGCCTGCAAAATTTGGGCTACCGATATCACATGCTGAAAATTCTATACTTGTACCAAAAATACAGTATGGAATAAAGTTATAATCAAAAATCATGCTCAATTCAGAGAAGGTATATAATGTTCTTATCGAACTGCAGCACTGCACATCATCATCAGGCGGAGCTTATGATGGCTTCCAAATCTCTACCCTAACTTCATCGACTTTAGGTAGGCCTTCGAAGCGCTGACCGCGGAGTAATATGGTAACTGTTTCAACGCTACGGTGCCTCATACTTTTATCAGCCTTACTGAACTGGTATATAACAACATCAGATGTCAAGTGATTCACAGAGTAAATCAGTGTGAGAATTTGCTGCATTCATTATGAAGAGCTTAATTTGGGCTTCCAATAGCAGTGCGAATTCAGTGATTCTATATATTTCAGGGTCTAGTCACTTGCATCACACAAAGTATTTAAACAGGTTTCTGAAAGTTAATATGAACAGCTCCTTTGGCTCCATACTGAAGACCAGATGGCCGGCTAGTCGTAAAAGATAAGCAATAAGGAACCTTTTCCATCATCCAACCAACCGATAACCTTGGCCCAACAAATATACCGAAGGAAATGAAGATGCATAGGACACATATGAAGAGACGGTTGGCTGATATCGCGCACCAGGCTGCGAATGGACGCCGAGTGGGAAAAAACAAACCAGACGCCCAGAAGTGGTATACGAGGAGGAGACGAAAAATTATGGGCTGTCTTACAGTCAGCCAAAGAGGACCACAGAGGACAGCATAACACGGAATTCGCTGTTTGATCACCATGTTCTAATTGGAACCCAAGATGATAATGATTCCTGAAGTGAGAAACAATGAAAAATTGATTTTTTAAGAAGAAATTTGGCCATTCAAATTAAATTTCCCCCTCACTATAGTCTGAAAGGTTAAAGATTGATATCTGGCCTACTTCCATTGATCCCGAAAACAGTACAGTGTCTATCACACGATCCCCTTGTAGCCGTTAAGAGAGAGGATTGAAACGCACATAAACGGTTATTTTTTGGCGTAAAGATTAGAGTAGGGAACTCTATAATATTTTTCTTAACATCGCGAACATTATTGGACAACTTGCTGTAGGTCTGTGTTTCACAAGTGTAAGACGCGTGCAGCGCGACTCTTGAAAGTCTCACGGTTTTGAGAGATGAGGTAGGTGCTAGCGAATTTGTGAAGTGTATCCTTTTATTTTCAGTAATTTACGCACACAGAAACGTCTGGCTGCAGCTGTTTTTGGCTGTGGGAAAAAGAAAATATGGCTTGACCCTAATGAGACAACAACTATCCAGAATGCTAACTCGCGCAAGATGATTCGAAAGCTGTTTAAAGACAACTTGATAATTCGTAAACCAGTTACAATCCACTCTCGTTCACGGTGCAGGAAGAACCTACTAGCCAGAAGGAAGGGTCGTCATGCTGGTACTGGTAAGAGAAAAGGTACGGCAGATGCTCGTATGCCTCAGAAGATACTTTGGATGAGGCGAATGAGAGTTTTGAGGCGTTTGTTGAAGCGGTATAGGGAGGCTCATAAAATCGACAAGCATCTGTAAGTTACATTTATTGGTGTCTGACTTTTCCAGGTATCATTTGTTGTATCAACAGTGCAAGGGTAATCAGTTTAAAAACAAGAGAGTGCTGATTGATCATATTCACAAGAAAAAAGCTGAGCGTTTGCGAGCCAAACAACTAAGTGACCAGGCAGAAGCCATGCGTCAACGCAAGCGTGAGGCTCGTGCAAATCGTCAGCACAGGTTGGAGGAGCGCAAAAAGGCGGTCATAGAGAGCTTTAATGTTGCCGTTTCTAAACCAGCTCCATCAGCGGTCCCGAAACCTGCGCCTGCGCCCGTGCAAGAAGCCAAGCCTAAAGCAGAGACTAAGGCTGCTCCAGCACCTGTTACGGCGCCAACTCCTGCACCTCAACCAGCTGCTCAAAAGGCACCAGAGCCCCAGAAGCCAGCTGCTTCAAAGGCATCTTCGAAAGTAGCACCACCACCGAAAATACCTAGTGCAAAGACACCAGCAGCACCACCCAAAGTCCCAACTCCTGCTGCATCCAAGCCAACAACATCCAAAAAGCCAGCTAAGCGTTAAATCTAAATAAATTTTGAATGGTAAAGTTCCTTCTTTTTCTATTCAGACGATATATGTCAGTGTTTCTACTATGTGTATCGTGTTGTATGTTCGTTTTCCACTCCATGATAAGGAACTTGTTATACGTACTGCTGTGTTATCAGTGTCTCAGTCGGTATCTAGTGGGTCAGGCAATAATGCACTGGGTCCCACATCCTCGAGTTTATACACCAGACACGTTTGTCAAGGTAACTAGTCTTTATATGCATTGACTCTCTTTCATCCTTTGTCACTCTCATGCCTTAACATACTCAAAGCGGTGACCTCAACTCAGCTGGCTTCACTCTCAAAAATTGTTTCTGTATGATATGATATGGGAATTCACCAACCTAGTGTTATTCTGTGAATACAGCTCTAAGAAGCTGCAACAATTGTGTTGAGTTCTGATCAAATCAGTAAATTGAGTAGAGTAATTCATCTAAGTAATAAAGTAAAATGTGTCTTTAGCAGTGTTTTTAAAGAAATAAGAGGGTTCGGTAGTCCATCGACTATCAAGAATTAAAGGTATTTTGAATTCTGTTTGTCATATATAAGTCCCTTTTGCATCTGGAATCCCATTTTTCAACGTCTTCTGATTGTAGGATTTATTCGAGAGTGTTATATCAAGGCCAATTAGTTTTTCCGCTGAAAGCATCTGCGCAAAGTAAACATGCCTCTGATGCTGAATACCTTCGTTGATTTACTCGTTGCGTTGAGCAGTGTGATGTGTAGAGGTAGGTAGAGTATATAGTGCTGGATCGAAATATTCTGATATCACCCAGCTTTGTCGATCGTGGCGTTCGGGATGTTATTCACATATGGAGACAACGCTCTTCTTAAGTAGCATTTTCAACTTGAGTGTGACCAGACTAGAAAACAGTTTAGAGTTATGTTAGGCAAGAAACCCGTTTCAAAGGTCATTTATCGGTCTGTATTAATTGAAGAGATGGTGTTGCATGACTACTTTTTGGTGTGAAATTTCCTCACAATGCTCCTGAAGGTGTGCAACTAACAGCAAACAGTTATCAGGCTGGTTTGCAACATATCCTTCTACTAAAAACCATCTTTTCCACTAACAAATATGAGTTATAATGACAACCGAAGTATTATCTTAAAAAGTAACAGTCAGCACTACTGTAATCACTTAAACAGACCACTTTGTAATGGCGGATATCACACCTACTTAAAAGTCTAGTCCTCTTTTTCATTATTTGGAAACGAAATAGGCTGTAGGTTTGCTGAACAGAGGTTTGTCTTACCCCGTGATAGTTGTAGGTGCTTAAAACCATATAACTAATTGCGACTTCTGGTGCTGACATAGAGCTTCCGGCATCTTTTGTAATCGTTCCGTTTATCACGTAGTTCATCAACGTTTCCTGACCTGTTCCTGTGTAATTACTATATCTGGCGTATATTAGTTTACTAAGCATAGCATACATAGTGTTCCTCTCTCACAATCGAGGTCTTCGCAGCATTTGTAGTCCACTTCCGTTCGACTTCATCTATGGCAGAATCTTCCAAATATTTGCCATGGATGAAGATTCTGTTTAATAGACAGACTCGGCCACAAGTCAGATACTCTGATTGGCGACTCATGTGCGTCACTTTATGATATTTTAATATTTAGAAAACTGCTTCTAATAAGCGTACGACATCAGAGAGCTATGCGATTTGGAATGTTTCTGAGAATTATAAGGAATAGGTTGTGTAAAATTCTCATTGTAAATTAGTACTCTGGTTGGTGAATGAAGTACGTTCTCTCCGATAATTTCTTTCTGTTCTACAGTTGTATGTCCATATAAGTTGAAAACAGCCTTTGCAACCCCGATCCATTATGATGAATCTAAGAGTTCTTTACTAGGAAGACGTGAGTAGGCTGTTGCTAGAATCCAGCTTTAGACATGCGTAAATGGTATTACACATAAATGTAACGCTAAAAAGACGTTTGAAGCAAAAGATAAAAAGTGTACATGTTAGTGAATAATGTTTAAAATGGATTTTTATCTTATCTGCGCTTGTGGTTCATGTGCGTGAACATTATTATCAAGAATGGGAAGCGGACGAAATAGGTAGAGGTGCGTGCATGTTGGAGTTTAGAACTAACTGAACAAGGAGAGATATCGCGTCTCTCTTGTAACTTCAGTTATGAAATCGAATGATTCAGACGAATTCTGTTGGCAAAAATGGGGTGTAGGGACTTGTTAGGTGATTGTGTGTGTAGTCATGTAAATCAAAAATAAGTTCTATGGACAGTAGCTGAGATTACCGGTATGTCGCAGCTGTCATGATTGTAATATTTAAAAGATCGTAAGGATATACTTGCTTGGTGGTGGCTAACAGCGGAATTCAGAATATGCGTTTTGCCTCATTTTTGTTTGTTGGGCTTGTTTTTCTCAATGAAAGGTGGTGTTTCTACTGCAGCCTGGCAACATTCATCGCTTGAAATACCTAAGCTTTATTCAGTGGGCTAATAAGCCACGGGAACCATCTCTTGTGCAAATAAGTTCGAGTGAGTCGTTATGCTAATATCGAAGCATTTGTTGGGCAAGTCTGTACCCTGAAATGTGGCTTGTCAGCTAACTCGTAAATATGAATAGATGATTCATATGTTGTGGTTACGTGATGCTAACTCAAAAGTATATTCTGACCTGGGTTTGTAAGACGTCACAGGGAAGAAGTACACAAGTAACAACAGTACCTTAGAAATCTTGATTACTTCTCATAGATAGGGTGGAGACAGCTTTGTGACTGGATCACTTGGCTTTCAGCCAACAGGTCCTGGGTTCGAATTCCACCCCATCTACTGAACAACTTGATAGTACCAGCTCTCATACAATGATTGGGTGGCTCATAGCCTGGGACACAAAATATCTGCTCTGGGTAACGGAGTTAGTTCATTAATAGGCGTTGTCCGGGTAATCAGGGACTAATGACACATTTGATTGCCCCAACACAAAAGGGATGTCAATCTTGCGATCTTTATTTCTTAGTGGTATGCACTTCTGTTTTAATTCGCTTCGGTTCCCAGTGGGGCATAGGGCTCCAACAGCACATCTTCATTTCATCCACCTCGTTGCAGTCGTCTGTGGCTGAATTCACCACTGCCCATAAGCACTTATCTCACGATCTCCATGTCATCCTTGGGTGCCCAATTCGTCGTCTACCATTTGGGTTCCACTCTAGCACCTGCGGTGTGATGTTACTCAGCGGCCCCGTATCAATCAGATGTCTGGGAATCGCGCTTGAGAATACTTTGCTTCCTTTCAGACGGAGACTTTCAGGGATAAACTCAGAAAATCTAGTAGACGCTCTCCTCTGATTTTTTCCTGTGTATTTGCTCACGCAATTGTAGGTAAATCAGTAAATGCAGTTGGAGTTTACATGCGGAGCAGGATACTTATCCACTTTTGATTGAGTTAACGAGCATATCGTGTTGTGAAGTGGAATGAGTCTGGCAGTGAGGAATGTTCTTTTCAATACACCCTTAATTCTTTTTCTCGGTTCTTATGGATACTTCACCTTACGTAGAATTCTCATTGACGCTGGAATTAGAGTGGCATTTAAACCAACTAACTCTCTCGGAGATGAACTTTGTCGGCTTAAGGACCCAATAGATCCAACTAAAGAAATATGATATGATTTACCAAATAACATGTGATGACTCTGAGGTCAGTAGTAGATCAGTTAAATAATCTAGAAAAAAGGTCAGCCATTGTACTGCATTCACTTGCATGTAGTCAAAAAACCGGCTGGGTGGGACAGCGTGAGAGTAATAAAAAAGTAATATAATTTGGTGGAGAGATGGTGAGGTTAATCACTGAAACTTTGTTTATCGATTCAACATTGCACACGTGCAATCAGAATGACGCAACGCCACCTATACCGGAGATATGGAAAGTAACAACAAACAACCAAGCGAAGTTGGAGAGACAGAAAGAGAGAAAATATCGATAAGACAAATTGTGAAAACGTGTGACTAAAATTGATATGATTACGAGCAGCAATAATTTACACTCGAAACGTCATCCAGTTGTAAATACTGCATCATCACTATGTGGTATTTAAAATAAACTTATATGGAATTACGTTCTATTACAGTTCCGAAGTTCTACACTTACATTAATTATACCTCTCCTTTGTTTATCATTAAAGCTCACTTCAGTATTCTGTTTGCTCCTTGATATATATTCAAAAAATCATATTGTATTCATAATAAAAACAGATAGTTCAATGAAGAGACTCTTCTCGGAGATTTTATTTATGTGGTGCGTTCACTTCGTCAAGCATAGGAAAAACTGGAAACAATTTGGAATATCGTTCACATCGTGAAGATACTTGGAAATGGTGACCACTAGTGAATTTAGACTACAGGTTATGTGATAAGTAAAGAAACTGTTTGGAAATTAGGTGTTATTGAAAAGAGCACAGAGGCATACAAATACCCCTATGAAGAGCGTAAACAGAAGACTACTTAAGAGAATGATTCCGGTTGTTCCAAAATCAAGAACATACAACGTGACAATAGTAATGATAGAGTGACTTCGATGAATAATCCTCGTCCAGACATTAACGAAAAGAAGACACGTAGTTCAGCGGAGGGTACCTTTTCGACGGATTAATTCACTTAACTGTACAATCGCAATTATGTATGATTATTTTTGTATGCGTGTTTACAGTAGGTTTATCAGACGAGAATAAAAATTAGTTAAGTTTATTGTTTGCGTCATCAAAACACCTCAAAAAATGTGACGATCAGTCAAATTGTAACTAGGGGAAAGGGGTGAAGACTAGTAAAAGGATTGTAGTGATAAGTTGTCAACGCATGAGAAGAGTTGGTAAGTGCGTCGTAGTTACGCAATAAGATGGATAATTCAATGGGTGACTTGTGATCAGGATACACATAGCAATGAAGGAAAATGTGAAATAATGCAGGAGTTATAAATAAATGTAAGAGTGATAAGGAGTTAGAAAAAACAAAAATCAGGTTAGTTCAAATCAACATGGTTGTTACCATGATAGCGGAAGTGATTGAATAATTTCCTTTTATATACAG